TGTCTAGCTGGTGGCAGCAGCAGCAATGATGACTTTCTATGAAGCCACAATTAGCTATAGGGAGGATTTGGATCTTCTTGATTTAGTGTAATAAGATTTACTTGTTATTGTAATAATCATAATAGTAATAATAAAAAATAGAAAGGTGATTTATTTATATGTTATTGAAAAAGTTGGAAAATAAATGCTTGTCGCAGGTTTAAATATGAAATGAACAATTATGACTTTTCTCTTTATTTATTTCTTTTAAAGTACTTGCTGCAGCTTTACGCCAAGCAGTTGAAAGAACCGACGCTAATAGTAAAAAGGATGTATTTATCATATCAATCCCTAGAAATCATATTTCAGTTAGTTGTGATACATCGAAAGAATCCTTTATCTTGCCAAAGTTTTCCGGAGGACATAATAATAATTAAATAAATCTAGAATTCGCTTGAAAGTTTATCAATACTTTGTTGAGATATGAAATACTATTGCCAATATTTTGTAAAGCTAATTCACATCTTTTTTTAAAAATGAATTTTTGACTAGTAATGTACAAAATTTGTAATTTTTATTTTGGAGGATGCGAAACTCCGATTGGTTGAATTTCACGCATAACTTCAATTTTACATATTAAAGAAAAGAAAATTAACATGGAATTTTTAACATGATAATTTATGTCTGATATAGTAAACAAGTTTACATTGTCAACTACCAGTTAACATATTTTATATATAATTATATGTATATTTATAACCCCAAATATATTTATAATCGTTGTCACTTTCTCAATATATATATAAATTATATGAATGTATAAATGCACGTATCGTATATTTATAATAATAAAAATTGCAAAAAAAAAGTGTTCAAGAAATCACACAATCATCTTTTTTCTTTTTATTATCATCAATCGGTATACCCTTTAATTTTTGTTGAGCTTTTTTATCACCATGTTCAGCAGCACGACGATACCAAATATTAGCTTCTAGTTGATCTTTTTTAACCCCAATACCAACTTCAGTGAAATATCCTACGGCATATTCAGCTTTTGGCAACCCTTTGTCAGCCGCACGTTTGGCCCATAAATATGCTTCTGCGTCACTTTGTGGTAACACACCAGGACTTCCAACAAGGTACCAAGCTGTTAATGCAAAACAAGCTTCACGATGATCTTGTTGAGCAGCAATTGTGTAGTAGTGAATCGAGAGTGCGGCATCTTGTGGACAACCCATTTTTCCATACTCGTAACATTCGCCTAATTTAAATGCAGATGGTGCAAAGCCTAAATCTGCAGCTTGTGTTAACAACTGACAAGAATATACCAAATCTACAAATACGATATTCTCAACGCCTTTCTCATGAAGTTCAGATAATTCATGTAAAGCATGTGGGAATTCTTCACTTGCTGATTCAACAGATCTTTTAAGCCACTTTACGCCATCTCTAGGGTTTTTTGATAAACCAAGTTCACCTTTTAATTCAGCCATACCCAAACGATACATAGCACCAGGATGATTTGATATTGCTGATTTCCTACATATATAATAATAAATATTTATATATTTAGTAATAAATATTTATATAACTAATATTAATTAAAGATAATAATCACAATTATTTAATTATTATTAATTTGATCTACTAACCTTAAAAATTGTAATGCTTTACCATTATCTTTACGACAACCCCAACCATATTCATAACATGTACCAGCCCGATAAGCAGCTTCAGCGTGACCATGTTTAGAAGCTTGAACAAACAAGGGAAAAGCTCTGTCGTAGTCAGGTTTATTTTTTGGTGTATTGATCGCGCTTGCGTAACAATCAGCTAGGTAATATTGAGAGTTTGCATGACCTCTATCCGAAAGTTTTTTTAGTATAGACATTCCTTCTTTGCATAACTCGGCTTTTTTTTTAGGGTCTTCGTTCATAACTCTTGAAGCCTCTATCATAAAAGCGGCAAATTCAAACTGAAGTTCAGGATCGTTTGTTTTTTTAGCATTTTGACGATATAGTTCTAAAGTTTGAGTATGAGAAAGTAGGGAGGCTTTATGACCAGGTTTGAGATGAGATTGATCAAGTATAATAGGAGATTCAGTTGGCATCTCAATAGAACCAGCTCTCGAAGAACCATTTGAAGATGGTGAAAGCATTGACATTTTTATAAAGATATTTATAAATGGTTGTGTATGTGTGATGAATTGATGTGTTTATTTATTTGTATTTAATTATAATTAATATATGTAAAAATTATTCATACCAAATAAATAAATTAAATAATTAACAAGAAAAAAATTTTTCCCACTCAAAAAAAAAAGTAAAGAATTTAATTTTTATTTTTCAAAAATTTTCCATTTTGCCAACCTTAATTGCGGATTTGATCATGTGATTCAGACAATGTCCAATCACGATCCTTTTATGAGCGGCAGTATTTCTATCTGATTCCGTTTATTTTTAACATAATTAAAGTAAACTGAATTTACAGTAAAATAGTGATTTTTTTTTAAAAAAAGTTTCCCATTGTATAGGGTGGGACAAAATACCAGAAATGTGTCAATTTGACATGATCAAAAGTACCACTTAGAAAAGTGACGCAGCACCGACTATACAACATCACTTTAAACTTGCACAAAATACTCGCTCTACTTTTATTGAGTATTGGCAGAAAAATAACTTTTTCTGAGCGGAATTGGATTTTTAATAGAACTTATTTTGAAAATATTAGAAATCATATGATAAACAATGGTTTTTTACCAAGAATTCATGGCAATATTAAAAGGATGCCTCAATGGAAAACTAAAATGGTGATTGATAAAAATGTTGCAGAAATAGTAAAGAATTTTCTAGAAAATTATGCAGAAGTCCATGGATTACCAAGTCCAGGAAGAAGTATCAATAGAATAACT